ATCCGGTCAACGCGGGTAAAATCCGTGTTGACGGGTTTTGGGCCGGGTTTGGGTTTAAACCCGTTCACTATTCATCGGGTTGGGTTGGGTTTGGGTTTAGGTAAACCCGACCTATGGGTACCCGCCCACACCATATAATAATTTTCTTGGTATATTTAATATTCTAAACAACTAATCTTATTTATGTTTGTGGAGACATGTCTAATTTTTTTCTTTCTAATTGTGTAGAATGAAGTTGATGTTATCGAGTGGAGAGCGAAGAAACTTTCAATTAATCATGTTATTTATGGATAATTTGTGATTTGCTTCAATTTTCTTGAGTTTTCTAGATTGGTGTTGAACAATTTGTATAGTTAATTTGTGATTTGCTTGTATTTTCTAGAATGGTGTTTTATATATGGATAATTTCTATTGAGAGATTGATATTTGACTTTAATTTTGATAGGAACTTGTTATAGTAAATTTTTTACGATAAAAACCCGTGGGTACCCATGAACCCGCGGATACCCAACGGGTTGGGTTGGGTTTGAATTTTTCAAACCCAATGGGTTTTACCCCGGGTTTTTTTCACGGATAAACCCACGGGTTTGGGTTTGGGTTTGGCAAAACCCAACCCAACCCGACCCATTGCCATCCCTAGCTGTGACTTCCAACTTTCTACATATACATGGTTTTCCTTTTGGCCTTTTTCCAAGCAATTCCTGAGAGAAGCAGAGAGTGGACAGAGACACAGCAGTCGCAGGGGTGCATTCTTAGAGCGGGAAAACGTTGTGGTAAAAAGAGGTTTGGTCTCCTGGGTAAAAGGCTGCTTGTTTGCCCTAAATGGTGAAATTTCATATCACTAGGGATTGGGAAGCATCGAAATATTCACATTCCAGTGATCATCAGTGGGAGAGTATCGATTCATACTGAGCCAAAGTGCTGCCAACCCAATCAATGATCATGAATTCATTTAATGGCGCCCACCTTTGTACAATAGTTTCTTCTTTGGCAGGTCAGGTCAGGTCTCGGATCCCAGTAAAAGGCCGTTCAAACTTTTCCTACTTATGGAGCCATCATGGGAAAATTCAAACTTTTCCTAGTAAAACAGTACAAAATCGTAAAAATCATTTCACTGTTGAGACCAACTGAGAAATTTGAAGAGGAGCGTGAGACATGTACAACAGGGCTTGAGTTTGGTAATGTTGGGTTTACGATTTTTGAATCTATCAAACTCTGTGCTAATGTCGAGGGAGGTGTATGTTTTGAGGAAACAGTTAAAAATGTAAATGATATGAATTTATGTAATTCACAAACATGATATGTGCTCCATGAGTGTGAGAGAATAATTTCACGGTTTGATATAAACCGTCAAAAAAGTAAATGATGATATATTGATATCTACTTATATGAGCAGAGCTCAACTATATATATTTTTTGGCATATATATTAAGATAAATATTCAGGGAACAACACAACCAAACGCGCCATTCGACAAATAGTCAGTACCCAACTATATTTGTTTAAGCAATTTTAAACAAATATTTTATTGGAAAGTGGGAATCTTTCTAAATAAAACAATTTGTTGGCTTTCTAACATTAATTGAACTAGCTTGTTGTCCTACCCCTTGGCCGAAATGTTATTTGAACACAATGCATTTATCATGAGTATTTAATTTTTTTTCGTTGAATTGTATTTAAATTTTTTAAATTAATTGAAATGCTGAATTTCGTATGACGTCAAGGTGACATCGAAATTATTTTTTCATTTCCGAAATTCTTATAACTTTTCATCAATGGTGAACATTGTAATCTTAATGGTTATAAACAAAGTTGTCAAACTGGTTTAAGTCGTTGAGCCCGTCAAGAAAGTGATTTGAAGTTTGATGGTTTGATTGAGGTCCAACCTATTTGAGCCGTTTTACACATTTTCTAAATATATTTAGTTATTTACATATAAGATAGAATTTTAGTGATTGAAATAGAATGTACTAACTTAATTCTATTTAAAACTCAAATAGTCAAATTCCATTAAAAAAAACATACATATCTTAAGATCCACCCACAATCCCGTTGCCTCTCCCCCTGCCACTCTCTTCTTCTCCCTCTTTAACGATCAAACCCTTGATTTTGTAGAGCCCGTTTTGGAGCCCGACTTTGGTCGGTCCTAGTCCAACCAGTTGCCAGGTAGAGGTGTCACAACTTTGGTTATAACACTTGTGAATAACCATTCATAACTTGTCTATTTAATGATGTAGTCACTTAGTTGCCTATGATTGAAAAGAAAATTGACATAACAAAAAAAGAGTTTGTGTGAAAAAGCGTAGCATAAATAGAAACTCATGATGATAACCTTTAGTGAATATTTATTTATTTTGCTTGAGAAACAATACATATATAGCAATATCTAAACCTTAAAGTATTCTGCAGAATATAATAACAAATTCAGTAAGAAAATAACATTTTTCATCCATACTCTATGCAATGAAAAAAGTATTTTTCAACCAAGACACTCTAAATTTAGTTGAAGGACAATCTTATTCACTCAACAAAAAAATTAAACATATCTTGTCATACCCACCTTGCTAATGCACATGACCCCATCAACGTGTCCATGATAACTTCATCTCGACTTTCATGATTTGTCTTGTACTGTGTTATTTCATATTAAACTAAGTAACTATTAATAATACATCTAGTCAATTATCCTATTAAAATCATCTATAAAAATTGGTATTCATAAATTGTGTTCTCTTAAGCTCACTCATTTTTCCAATTATGCCATATTATCTAGAAATTTAGGATTTAACGATTAACAAAACTAAAACTTTCAAAAAATTGGTCACTTACAGTTTGCATAACAGTATCGTTGCTTTAATAGTTCTGAAAATTAATACCAATTTAAGAATTATACATCACATCTACACATTAAATACTGCAATTCAATATGGAATATTCGAATCAATGATATTTGAGTTGCAATTTTAAAATTATTCTCCATTTATAAGAGGACATAAATTAAATTTACTATTAAACTCAAATTAAAATAATCAAAATATAAAAATTAAAATATCAAATAATAAAGAAAGTACTTTCGGGAGAGTTAGTGGGCTAGCGAACAATAGTGGAAAAGTAATATAATTTTTCGACTTTAGATTTTCAGATTTTGTATTTAAAAAGATACAAAACATTGTTTTAGTGTAATTGGTAATGGTTGTTGTATTTGTTTGAAAAGACCAATTTAAGAATTAATACCAATTTGCATAACAGTATCGTTGCTTTAATAGTTCTGAAAATTAATACCAATTTAAGAATTATACATCACATCTACACATTAAATACTGCAATTCAATATGGAATATTCGAATCAATGATATTTGAGTTGCAATTTTAAAATTATTCTCCATTTATAAGAGGACATAAATTAAATTTACTATTAAACTCAAATTAAAATAATCAAAATATAAAAATTAAAATATCAAATAATAAAGAAAGTACTTTCGGGAGAGTTAGTGGGCTAGCGAACAATAGTGGAAAAGTAATATAATTTTTCGACTTTAGATTTTCAGATTTTGTATTTAAAAAGATACAAAACATTGTTTTAGTGTAATTGGTAATGGTTGTTGTATTTGTTTGAAAAGACCATAGTTTGAATCTCGAGATTGATGTTTTTTTCTTATGAATGAAAAATAAATAATGATTGTGAAGAATAAATAATGTTTGAAAAAATTAAAATAATGGTTAGTGAGTAATCATAGCCGAAAAATTAAAATAATGGTTAGTGAGTAACCATAGCCATCTCAGTTTGACAGGGTTCGGGGCCTGCAACTACCAGAGTCGGCCCTTATTTGGGCCCAAGTAATTGTAATTGGCTAACAAGCCAGCCCTGGGCCGGCCGGGTAGCCTTAACCCGTCAACCCCGCCACTAGGCCGATTGGTTGTTTCCGTAAAACTAGCTAAATACACAATTATACCTTTCTACTTTATCGATGTGGTACAGTACACAATTCCTGCATCAGAATACTGCGGGGTAAAAAAGGCTCTCATCATGATTTGTTTGTCTTTTACCAATAACAACAAAACCTGCAACCTTAAAATCCACAGCTCCTAACTCCCCACCTCTAATTGATTTGACTGTTTATTTATTTGGGCTCGCAGTGAACTGAAAGCTAGCTCTGGCCTCTGAGACTATCTGATATTGCAAGCCCATCAAACCCATCGTTAATGAATCAATCAAAGAACATTGCCCAGATGAATCAGCAACCGAAAAGCCCACAAACAGTCATAACTTGGGCTTCATCACAGTAACTGAAAGCGAGCACAAACACCCAGGCATTATTGCAGTGGTGGTGGACTGGTGGTGATTGTCTCCGCCAATGAACACTGTGCAGTTGAACCCACAACGGTAAAGCCCACGAAGGCTTCTTAATGGATACAGCCATAACAACTTGGGCTGCATAATAACAACTGGAAGCTAGCACTGTGTTGCTGCTGCTTTGTCCCCATCATTTTGTACTTTTTCTCTTTTCCTTATTATGTTTGTGTGAAAATAAAAATTTCTCTCTAAATCATTGATCCATCTCCTCTCTTGAGTCCTGACCCAGGTGACTGCAACTTTCTTCTACCTCTTTTTCACTTTCCTTGGTCTGGTCTGATCAGTTTGTCACTTTCCTTAGAGCGGAAAATCGTTGTGGTAAAAAGAGGTTTGGTCTCCTGGGTAAAAGGCTGCCTGTTTAATTGTCCTAAATGGTGAAATTTCATATCACTCACTAATTACTAGGGATTGGGAAATTTTGTAGGGCACATCGAAATATTGACATTCCTTCAAGGAATCAGTGGGTGACTATCGATCATACTGTGCCAAGTACTGCCAACCCAATCAATGATCATGAATTCATTCATTGGCGCCCACCTTTTTACAATAGTTTCTTCTTTTGCAAGGTCAGGTCTCGGATCGGATCCTAGCAAAAGGCCGTTCAAACTTTTCCTACTTATAGAGCCATCATGGGAAAATTCAAACTTTTACTACTAAAACAGTACCAAAAATTGTAAAGATAATTTTACTGTGATAAGTTGAGACCAACTAATGAGGAATTTGAAGAGGAGCGCGAGACATGTACAGCAGGGGATTGAGTTTGTTTAATTGTTGGGTTTACTACGTACTTTTGAATATGCAATTTATCATTGTTCCGGTATTGGTACATATCTTTATCGGTATATATGTTTGATTTGATAGGTATTGAAGTGGTCATACGTTGTTCATAGATGTGTACTTTTCTTGTCCCCGTTGCCGAACTAATAACAATGCAAAAATCAAACAAGAAATCAATACCAAACTTGTAACAATACAATACCACTACCAATTCAAAATCCAATTGCGAGCACACAAAGATGACAATGACATCGTTGTCGAATGATAAGGCTGCTGTTGTGCGCCCTCCTTGTTCAATCGGAATTCCATCCCCGCCGCTCCAAAGGCATCTCCTCTACCGATGTCATTGTCGACCCCACCGCAACCTCTGGTTCTGTCTCCACACCCCGACTACTTCTGCTCCACGAACGACCCTCCGCCGCTCAGCGACGGCGTCACGTTGATGAAGCAGAAGCCTTGCAGTTAATGACTAACCGCCACTGCACCAGATCTTCCCCTAAGCCCGCGATGGAGCGAGGGTAACAAAGGGGGGGGGGGGGGGGAGAGGGATGGAGGGCGATAGACGGTTGTTGTCGCCAATGAGAGAGAGAGAGAGAGAGAGGCAAACGCCGGGCGGCAGTCGTCGCCAAGAAGAGAGGCAAGGGTCAAGGAGGCAGCTGGGAGAGAGATGTATATTGTTAGGGTTGAAAAGAGAGGAGGAGATTAAAGGAAATAACAATGAGATGCGGTAAATTTTTTATTTTTAAAATTACCCTAAAAGAATCTTGACCATAAAATTAGAAAAGAATGGAAAATAGGAAATCAAATGGTATCTAAAGAGGCAAAATACGTTGCCATCCAGATCCTACCCAAGTGGGAACATTTAAAAGATAAAAGAAGCCTATGGTTGAGAAAATTTAAAAAAAAACCTATGGTTGAGAAAATTAGTGGGAACATTTAATAGATAAAAGAAGCCTATGGTTGAGAAAATTTAAAAAAAGAAACCTATGTTGAGAAAATATAAAAGTAATGATTAACAGCAGATCTGGCCCATTTTTGGGCTCAAAGTAATAATTGTATTTGGCTAGTAAGCTAGCCCTAGGCCGGCCGGGTAGCTTTTGACCATTAACCCCGCCACTAGGCCGATTGTTTATTTTAGTAAAAGTAATTAAATACACGATTTTACTTTTCTATTTTGTCGATGTGGTACAATACAAAATTCCTCCAGTAGAATACTGCAAAGTGCAAACAACAACAAAAAAAGAATTCATTTACGGTTTTACGACAAACCTGCAACCGTAAATCCCAAGTTCCCAATTCCAACCTCAAATGATTTGACTGTGTCCTTATTTGGGCTCGTGGTGAACTGAACGGCAGGCCTGAGACTCTGATATCGCAACCCATCTATAATGGGTCGGCCAATGAACACAGTGCAGATGAACCCGCAAAGGCTTCTCAATGGATATTGCCACAACTTGGGCTTCATAATAACAAATGAAAGCTAGCACCTGAAATCATCGATCCATCATCCATCCCCTCTACATACATTCCCAACCCATTGATCGATCTCACCTTCACCTGACCAGTTAATATATTAGTCCGGTTTAACTGCTTAAGATGCATATATTAGGCGGGCGGTTACCAATTAGATGTCCGGCAAATCACATATTTTGACTAGAGTTACAAGTCAGTTTTTATTGTGACTTTGTTGGTTTTAACCGATGAGTGATATTCGAGATAATCTTGTGTTAGTAACTAGTAAGGGAATTTAGTTCACTTTGCAAGAACCCAATGTGGTCCATATTTTCTTTCTTTTCCTTTTATCTTCCTTGCTCTAGTAGAGTATATATTGGAGTCACGGTGATAATTTTGATTTTCCCTGATCGATCTAATTTATTTCTACGTGTTTTGCGTTGATGCACAATTTTTTTTATATAGCTATTTTTGTCTTAAGTTTCCTCTCCTCTATTCAAATTTTGTTGGTTTAACTATTGTGTAATGTAGTACAATGCAATCGAAGGCGTGATTCTATGTAGAACAAAAATATGGTTTGAAGTGTAAAACGTAAAAGCAAAGCTTAAATACATTGTATATAATTGTTATAATTCTTCTAATGCACTCTTTCAAATATAACAAAACAGGATTCGAATAACTATATTTGTCCAATATTTAAAGGTCCAAAATAGACTTCGAATAACAAGTCATAAACACAAAGTCACACACATATCCTTTCCTATGCGACTCGTGATGGGAACAAAGTTAATGATCTTCCTCTACAACTTTCAATCACTCCCAATCAAATGAGAAATCACACTCACACACATAAAATATTGGTTGTTATTACTTATTAGAATTCCATGTATATGAATTATTGAAATCATTCCTTTGAACTTTGAATGGAAAAACTCAATTGCCATATCTTTATTGTCCATAAGGATATACCAATCTCCTCTTATTTTTTGCATTCCAGGTATCACAAACAATGGTTGTGTTACCACCATAAATCTCTTAACCCCTTCACACTCAACAAATCTAAATGATAGCCCATCCAAGATTGTCATTATAGCTAATGCATATCTATATCTAGCTTTCTTTTGATCAAATTTCCATGGAGCAAAAGACCATACCTCACCATTTCCAGACTGATAGTTTAATATTGATTGACCATTAGCTTCCCTCTTCATCCTCTCGAATGCCAAGGGATGATTTTTCAAACCAGGTGTCCCATTGAGGCTCTAACGAGCTTTGATCAATTGTTCACACTGTTTACACTTGCCATGTGGGTAGCCATCCACCAACACCTCAATAAAAGGAATCCATCACTTAGATGTCTTCTTCCTCCCCCTAGACATTTTTCTAGGGGTGGAGTTTCGGTTACCTGTTAACCAGTCGGTTAAACCGATGATCGGTCGGTTATCCACTAACCGAAAATCGATATAACCAGGGGCGGAGCCAGGATTTAGTGTCGGCGGGGGGGGGGGGGGGGGGGGGGGGGGGGACTTTTCTTACTTGTTATCGTGAAAAATATAAAAATAAATAAAAAACTAATAGTCTAATAACGATTTAAAATATCCTTAAGATAGTTAAAATTCAAATTATTTTAAATTAAAATTATAGTTTAAATTTTTTATTAATTTATGGTTAGTGTATATTTCATCAATATTAGCAAGTACTATGCAAACATCATTGTCATTAGGTAATCGACAACTGAAAAAATTATAATGTTATAAAAATTAACATTGTATTTTAACATTGTGTAGAAAATTTCATTTCAACAACTGAAAAAATTAATGTTATTCAAAATCAGTATTATGACAATTGCATTTTATATGAGAAACTATCCTTAAAATTGTAATTATTTTGTTCTAATTGGAATTCAAGTACTTAAGCTTAACAAACTAAATATGAAAGTAAATAATTGACTTACCTAACTAAATTTAAAATTAAATGAAACAAAACTACAAAACTGTTATGAAAATGGTAAATACAAACTTTGATGAAATTAAAGTAAAATATAAAACTGTAATGGAAAGAAAAAAAAGGAATATAAAATTTTTAATGAAATAGAAGTACCATTACCTAGGGGTGGTGTCACATGTGGCATGCATGGAAGACTAGTAGCATAGAGATGCTCCTAGGATTCTCCACCATAATGTAGAGCTTTATAGTGCACTTATGAGTCACATAATGGTGACATTGATAGAGTGCATAATGGGGGGACTTAATGGGGTGTATTGATGTAGTAGAGGGACTTTATGAGGGGCATTGATGCCTTGTATGTGGAGAGACCTATATAAGGAGCCATCTCCCTCATTTGTACTCATTCCATCATTTTTTAGAGTAATACACACTAGCGAATTCTCCCATTTCCTTTGTCTTTGTTCTTGTTCTTTGCTTTCAAGTGAGTTGAGAGAAAGGCTGCCTAGCGCTCTAACGGAATTGAGAGCTAGGGCCGCACGATCGAGAGTAAGGTCGTGACAAGTGGTATCAGAGCCTGGTTCGGCTTTGTGCTAGCAAAGTTGAACCTAGAGCCAGAAGGAAAGGAAGAACCTCACCAAAAATGACTGGATCAGAAGTCCACGACGATGAGAAGCACCGTGGAAGGGATACCGTGAAGAATCCCAAACCAAAGGGTGACAAGTCAAGCACTCGTGATCCTATGACGTCTCTAGAGAGGCGTGTCTCTAGAATGGAGGTGAAGTTGGCGGAAGACATCAGTGCCATGAGGATTTGGGAGCAAACTTCACCCAAGTCGAAAGCGATTTTCAAGGTATGAATGCTCGTTTGTCGAGCTTGGAGATTGGTAATGATGGCTTACGAGAAGAGCTTGTGGCCCTCATCAACAACACCATCACCACATCCTTGAACAACGCCATTGGAGTTGTGAAAGAGCAAGTCCAGGCTGAGCTGGTCGGCGTGAAGGAGGAGATTGCAGATCTCAAGAGTGAGGTCACTCTCGTGAAGAGAGCCATGGCTAGCGGACCAGCCATGGTGCAATCCGTCCCACGTGCTGATATTCCAAGACCGAAGAGCTTCGGAGGTTCACGGAATGCGAGGGAGTTAGAGAACTTCCTTTGGAGTCTTGAGCAGTACTTCAAGGCGTCCGGCATCCAAGAGGATGAGGTAAAGATTCGTACCGCTCCACTTTACTTGGTTGATGTTGCCATGGTGTGGTGGAGGCGACGTGAAGCGGACGTCGAAAGAGGTACTTGTGTGATCGTAACGTGGGAAGATTTCAAGAGAGAAATCAAGAGGCAGTTCTACCCAGAGAACGTGGAGTTTGAAGCCCGTTCGAAGTTGAGAAGACTCACCCAGAGGGGTGGAGTTCGAGAATACGTGAAAGAATTCTCGGAGCTGCTTCTAGAGATCCCGGACATCACGGACAAGGAGGCCATGCACGGCTTTCTTGATGGGCTGCAACCATGGGCCAAGATGGAGATGCAACGGCGAGGAGTGCAAGACCTTGCAACTGCCATGGCCACGGCGGAATCTTTTGTCGAGTACAAACGACAAGAGAGCAGCGGCAAAGAGAAGAGTTCAAAGCCCAACAAGGGTGGAGAACAGCAGAAGCCTTTCAAGGAGGGTTCTCGCACTCAAAAACACCAAGGTGGTTCGAGCAAAGGGGGTAAGTACGAGCCAAAACCCATGACTTGCTTCCTTTGCGAAGGACCACATCGAGTGCGAGATTGCCCACGGAAGGCGAGATTGGCAGCCATGGAAGCTCAAGATGAGGAGCCCAAGGCGGCGGAGGCCAAGATTGGCTCAATCCGCAAGCTTGGCGCGGTGAAGACCGACGTCAAGGAGAGCAAGCGGGGGAGGTGCTATGTTCTGGCACAATTCATGCAAGGCGAGTCAAAAGCCTTGGTGGATACCGGTGCCACGGACAACTTTCTTCGCGTCGAGGAGGCAAACCGGCTGGGTATTGCCTACGAGAAGGGGCAAGGGAGGCTCAAGACGATCAATTCGGATTCCATCCCGATCCATGGAGTTGCTCACAACGTACCAATGAAGCTTGGCGAGTGGGAAGGCCTCATCGACTTTTCCGTCGTCACCATGGACGATCACCCAGTCATCCTCGGCATCCACTTCCTCGACAAGGAGGGAGTGCTTTTGAAGCCCAACTCCAACACGATGTGCTTGGAGAAGGAAGGGGAGTTCCATGCTGTTCATCTCTTGAGAGAAGATGGTCCCCATAGTGCTCTATCGGCCATGCAAGTGGTGAAGGGGTTCAAGAAGAATGAA